AAACGTTTATTTCACGTGACAGGGAAGAAGTCTTCTGTTATGTGACCCAAATTCGCTACATTTGTATTTGTAAATTTCATGCTAGTGAACTCATACTGTTTCAAAAAAAGTTTCTGTGTAATTCTTTTCTTTAGTATATTATTTTTATTTGTTGCATTTCATGGTTAATTATTAATTTATTATAAGGAATTGCATTGGCATTCAGGTAAGATGGTTATCGTTCGCTTCCGTCCTAGGCGTTTTTGGCCCGTCTCCCTTTTCTTTGAGAGTGTCGAAACCAATACGCGAAGGGATTACAGTTCTTGAGGCGTGAACCCTGATCTGCTCCCAGGAGGAATTTCTTAGGGGGTAGACAGCAAGTAATGTCTCCTCAGACCGCTGCAAAAAGAGACTTCAGTGTGATCAGGGTCTTCTAATCGGAGGTTTATCTAGATCCTTCAAGGTGTTTTTTGCATTCTCTAGATTACCTGTCGTGTCGACAGTGCTTTCTATTTTGAACATATTTGGATGTTCTTTCAATTCTGATTCTATCAGCCGTGCCTTCTGGTAAAATTTTGATTTTAATTATTAGGTTGTTTTTCAGTCTATCAAGTGTTAACTCGTTTATTTTGTAATTCAATGTAATAGTTAGGGAAGGTCTTGGAGTTTGTGCCGGAAGTCTCATGACTGCATTAAGCCTTGGTAGTCAGTTGATTTTTATTATTAATAACTTTTGGTCCAATAAAACAGTTAGGAAAAATAATTAACAATTATGCAATACAGCGTTATAAGTTCTGGTGACCAAACCCAGCCGTCTGTGAGAAGAAGACGGTAGTTAAGGTCCTCAGCAAAAACTTACAGAAGTTCTCTAAATTGGCTGGTGCTGTGAGACAGCAAACGGCTGATTGCTTCTTACAGTAGGGTTCTATCTATGTTCGGTCCCCATAGAGACATGTAAAAGACACCTCGTAATGTACTAAGTGTTTCCCGAGTCAAAGATTCGTTGGTTAGTCGCGATGCGCACAGAAGACTTTTTACCACTTTTTGTAGAAGTGGGAACTTCCTTTCTGCAAATAATCTTACGGATACTTATTGTGTAAAATCTTATTACTCATATCATGGTACAATAGCGTGTAAGTCATTTTGGACTTCGACGCTCAAACGGTAGGAAACGATAACCGCGTACTCGCTTGCCGGCTTTTCTCCAGAATTTTATATAAGAAGCATAAGTGATGGTTGGGACGACGTTACTCATGCGAATGCTCGTTGAATTTTTGCATAAATTAGACCTTGCGGTCCAAAAAACTGAAACTGCAATACCTAGTCCCAACGAAGCAGGTGCATTTCTAAGAAAACTTCCAAACAGGAAGCTAAAAACTCAAGGTCGCCAAATCCTGTCAGTGGTTTCCACGAATTCACAATGAAGATTTGGTGGAAGCTAGAGAGCTGTTACAAGAAGACACAAAACTTAAGAGGAAAATTGAAAGCGCGCGGGAGAGAAGGCGCGAAAGGGTGCAAGTTCAAATGAATGTTTTCCGGTTGGCTCCGTACCCCCAAATTAATTCGTTTTCTGCTTTACTTTTCTTTTAAAATCTTATACATTTATGCTGAGGTTTCTTGTTCTTTAAGGCTCTGGTGTTATTTATTTTCTCAGTTTCTTAATGCAGGCATTCCGGATGTAGTAGGAGCAGAGTACGGGTGCAGGAGTGTGGGGCCTGCTAGGAGGGCTGAATGGTGGCTGTGTCACCCGTAACGTATATGACACAAATAGCTGTGTTTGTTGGATGCCACTAACCGCTACCATCGGGGGCGTTTGTTGAGACAAAACGGTCTCTTGATTAGGAATTGGCAAACGGAAGCCATTTCCTTTTTCGGTTTCAGGCACACAAATCGTGTAAAGAAATTGGTTCTGTGTTAGTACAATAGTTGATGCATTAGATTTTACAAAGAAAAATCTGATTTGTGCATTATCATTTACATTCTAAAACAGTCTTACACTGGTGGATTAGGCCCACCATACATACAAAGCAATTTTGCTATGACTTGTGCATTTACTTTCAACTAATTTTCTAGCAAGTTTTTAGATATTTTGGAGATTAGCAATTTCCAATCAAAATTAGGCAGCTGCATCACGATGAAAGACTGGGCACGTTTAAATTAATGTGATATTAATGATTCATTTTAGAGATTTGGTTACTATATTTGCTGCAACTTTTATTGGCTGATTTGGGGGATTTGGTTATCTTCAGAAAACGGTAGTAATCTGGTTTATCTTTTTACTTTTGTTGATTTAGGAGTAAAACTACCATTAAACGATGAAGAATTATAAATTTAAAATGGTAAATGGTGGAAGACAAGGAACAAAAACAAAAAAATTACTGGTCTTTTATGAGACCATCTTAAAGTCATGCCACGAGACGCATCCTTTAGAAAAATGCTGTTGACAGGTGGCTTGACCGTTTCAAGTCGTATCGTTCATTTTTCCCCAAAACTTTTGTTTTTTTTTGTTTTTTTTTTTTCTTTTGGACAGTGATAGCGTTTGAGTTACGAGGCAAAGTCAGGGCATAGACAAGGCGTTAACGTTTTTTGGGCTATCGGTGCTGGTAGACAAGGAATTACGTAGTAAACAGCGTGATTTGCGTTGGGGTTTTTCATCGTACACTATCCAAGCATCAGTTTTAGAGAAAGGAGTTGTATGAGCCTGCAACTTGTGCATAGGCTGATACAATGGAATTCTTTGTAAAAGTATGGGAAAACAGAGCACTGTTTAAAATATTCTATGTTTCTTGATGACTGTAGAAGTTGTACTTTTGAAGGTGAGATTTTTCAATTGGCTTTGCCTGTTACTGTTAACTGCGACTAGCTGAGTAAATTGGGAAGATTATGGAGGCGCTTAGTGGGCATAAGTAGAGCAGGTGTCAATGTATGTGATTTTGAAAAATAGGGTCATCTTGTCAAGTGTGAAAGAAAGGCGAACCGGAAAGGGCTTTGCATGTATCGCATACGTTGCTGCTGGAATAATGTTTGAAAAGCTTTTTTTAATTTTGTGAAGTCACTAATTGCTTCTTGACAACAACGTCTCCTGGTTGCTGAGTATCTGTTTGATTGTTGAATTTCTGTCCTTTCTGTCGGACGAGTTCTAACTCTTCTATTGCGTTCAATTTTTTGCTTTAATTGTTTTCGATCTTTACTGCTCACTGTTCTCTTTTTCAAACATTCTAATATCTGTTCCATTACTGGTCATCATTAATTTTCTGGCTTTTGGGAGGAATCTTTTGAACATTTGAATTGTACTTTTTTAAAAACTGACCGTAAACTGATCGTTCTTTCTTCATGTAATGCTTTTTGAATGGTTAAAGCGGAAGAACTTACCTAGTAGGATATCGCATATGGTTTAAGTTTTCGAAACGATGTGGTTTTATGAGCATATTTGTTTCTGTTTTGTTTTTAATATTAGATTTGATATTAAAAAGGCATCTTTTGTTTACGCGACTAAAGACTTAGGCGGCAGTCAGGAATCAGTGAAGCGGCGGAGAATTGTAGCCTTGGTTGCTGTGTCCACATTATGGTTTACGTTACTAGGCAGTATGTCATGACCGAAGCATCGATACTTAACTTATAATTCTTTGTGTGATATGAGGTTTCATCTATATTTTGACTGGATAATTTGTTTTTTAACAAAGTTTTTGACTGTAGAGTGGGATATGTCAGTGATGTCAATCAAAAAGTGTTTTCCCAACAGTTGACAATGTTAGGCTGAGCATCACGTCAGCTTTTATATATCTTTAGTACGGCCGTATCTCCAGGACAATAAGAGTCACTAACCAGTTCCATTATCTTTGAACGTATTTCCGGCTGATTTCTTTTAGTTCAAATTCAGTAGTTATTTGTTCTTATGTAACAGTTTAGCTAAGCGATAGCAATTGTATTTTTAAAATTTTGGGTCAGCGCTATAATCCTCCTCGGTCTGCTTTATCATTTGCTTTACTCGCTTTTTGATTGATACTTGTGGTGTTCCTTTTTTTCCTATATGAGTAAGGTATTGCTTAAAAAATATAGATTTTTAGATTCTTACATAACACGATTATCGGGTGCAGTTGGTACTATAAACTTTCGTTTTTTCTTCACACTCATTTTATGCCGCCCTTCAGCAAAGCTGATTGGTCTACCACACATCTGGTTCGATTAGAACTACAGTGATCCGTAGGTGTGTCTTGCATCATTCACTTATTGTCTGGGTTTCTTAAAGCATTAACCTTTTCTCTACTCAAAAGCCCGTCTCCAAAAAAAGCTATTCTCATCTTCTCTTTGTTCCTAGAATTTGCCGTTTAGGGATGGCGGAACGATCGTTTATGTCGCCTTTGCCACGCCCAACTTTTTTTGAACACCTCGATCCGCCACTGTCAACTAAAAGGGAGAAGGTCCTTTGTTTCGATCTTTCGTCTTGTCAGTTCAGTACTTGTTCTCAGAAAGTAACCTTTTTGTTGCAGCAAATTAAAGGAATACAGAAACGTGTGCCGCGGCTCGTTCGGAGCGTTCAGTCGGTTAGTCGTTTTTCTGATCGTTACGAGCTTCGGGGTCCTCGTTTTATAAGGTTCACTACGAAGGGCAAGACACCATTTGGTAAGTTAACAAATCTTGGTTTTACTAGTTTTTTTCTTGACTCGTTTATGGCATTATATAGTTTCTTGGGCTTTTTAGATGGTGAAAACGCCTATTATGACAAGAATGACCCACGCGAATACTTCGAACAGTGTTTTGAAAAGGAGAGAAAAATTGGCGAAGGATCGTTTGGGGAGGTGTGGTTCATGAACTTATAGCCATTTTCTAAAAATGACTAATGTACTGTTTACTTCTCTTAGAAGATACCAAAAGTTTAAGGTCTTTCGTGTGAAATCTAAAAACGATGGCAAATACTATGCTGTGAAACGAACAATAGAGCCATTCAGGAACTCAAGGGATAGAGAAATGAAATTACGCGAAGTGCAGAAACATGAGCTTTTACCTAAACATCCAAACTTAGTTGAGTTTAAATGTGCTTGGGAAGAGAAAGGGCAACTTTACATTCAGACTGAACTTTGCGAATACAGGTTACTGTTTCTTTTTTTTTTATTTCATTTGGTGTTCTTTGTGAACCATTTTGAAATTAAAATAGACCTGTTTATTTTTTTTTT